TTAGATCTATCAAAGCACATCACCATCGGTTCATGATAGCTTCTCAATCAAGAGTTATAAAAGGGAAAAGTTTGTCCCAGAACTTTTGTCCGGCCCTATATTACGAGTCTAACGAGATCTAACTATCACATAGTGCTTCAGTGTTACAAGACAACCATTAAAACAATTCAATATTATAAGATTTACCCGTGTTGAAATATTTTCAAAATATGCGATGTTGTAATCATTTTGGCTTGATATGTTGATTTTATCTTAGAAAATTTTCAAGTGCGTCAAAGTAAAGAACAATGCTTTTATATATACCAAAGAATTATTCGACAGATTAGAACTAGAAATGTATATGAAGAATTTTTGTGAGAAAAACTATTTTGCGAATTAGATATTAAGAAACCATTTAAACTAATGAATATTAAAGATCTATAAAATTGAAACTTTTATTTATTTAAACAGATTATCTAATGAAAAAAAAAGCATTTCCATATGCAAAAAAAAAGCCGTCGCCATTCTTTTAATATACGGACGGAAATGTGAATGTGTATATTGAGAAGTAAATTATTTATGTACAATTAATTAGATTTGATCGATATTGAATTGTTAATGATATGTCACGTCGTTTAAGAATTTCTTGAATTGATACATATTGTTTTTCAGACATAATAAAATCATTAGATAAAATTAATTTTAATGTTTTTTCAAATGATTCATTTGGATTTTTTGTAACAGGAAAAATTTTTAATGTCCATAATGATTTATTATTTTCATCATCAAATAAATCGTCTATATGACGATGAATTTTTTTAGCTATTATTGATAATGTTTGACCAAAATACATTATTTTATTATTATTATTATATGTTATTTTCATATTATCATAAAAACCAAATGCAAATGTTGCAAATAATTCATCATTTAAAGGAATTGTTTGCATAATTAAATTTGATGGAAGATAAAGAATATTTTGATTGAAATCTGAATATGTTACAAATGTTATATTACTTAATATTGTATTTTCACCTATATGCATTGGTATACCAATACAGCAATATTCAAGTAATGAACGTTGTGATGATCGACATTTAGGATGAATAAAACTATGTATAACACAACCGTGAACATCAGGAGCAGATGGTTGATGATGTAACGTATCACCATGAGGTAATGCAGGTAGAATTCTAAATAAAAAAAATAAAATAAAATTTTATTGCATTGTAATAGACATGCATGGGACCAGTCGTCTTTTGGTCCTGGTGAAACATGAACCAACACTATCTTGCTCATATCTACTATCCATTTCAAAATATAATATGCTTCACTATTTTTTGATAAGAATATCATAGAGATCTGCGGTTTTCATCATTCAAGAGAGAACATCTTGGACTATCGAAATTTGATTGATCATTTATCAGATAAGGTTTTCGAAAACGATATTCTGTAGTTGTTTCTTTTTCAATTTAGACTATTAATAGAACTAATCGATAGGAAAAATTCTTCTCTTTCGATCTACACAAGATCGACATTCCCAATATTTCTCATTTGAGAGCTACAGGACTTTTCCGGAGATTCCTATTTTCAGTCAACTAATTTGCGATCACCTGGAAGAGTATCTAACAAGGAGGGAAAAGTGGCTCCCGAGGAACTCTACCGACTCCTGGTGGCTCTTGGTGGATGCCGCCAGGATCCATCTGAAGCCGCTTTTCCTCTTTGGCAATTAAACAGGGATAATTCAACATATTCAGTCGAATGATGATGTTTGTTTTTAGGTTCGAACTTATCAGGCTCTGTTATCTCAATATTTCAGCAGCCTAGCTGTTTTCCGGGGGATAACAGGTCAATTGGATGTTTCAGAAAAAGTCTTATAACTCTCGAACGAAACAAGCTAGGAATGTCAGCCTTATGTAGTCCTAAAGAGAAACACTTTTTCTATCGGTAAGTTCTATTAAAAGTCTGAAATGACATAACAATAATTTCAGAATATCGTTTTCGAAAGTTCACCAAGCAAATTTCGATGACCTCTGAGTCTTCTTGAGGTTTTATGAATTTTTATAATTAATTTAGCACAGAAAGCTTTTCTATCAAAAGAAAAAAAGGTAATATTTTTTCTTATTAAATGATAAATTATTTGCTAAGCTATTTCACAAAATCGAATTGAATTTTATTTGATAATTATTTTTTTTTGTTGTTGTTGTTTATTAAAATTAACATACCCATGCCAAAAATCGATTGTATCATGTCGACTTTCATCAAATACTTTACAACCAACATGTTTTTCTAATTTTAATTCATCAAATATTTCTTGACCAGCTTGTCCATTTCCACAACAAATATCAAGATATTCATCATTTGTACCTGTATGATTAAATGATGATTTATGTAAAATAATAACTTGTAAATGACAATCAAGTAATGCATCATATAATTTTTGTTTTATTCTTATACATTGTTGATTATTATTATTATTATCATTCTCATTTCCTATAGGTCTTGGTAATGGACATATACCTAATGGATTCATAAAATCACCATAACAATCAATTTCACATTGAATATTATGTTCTTGTCGATATATATCAGCTAAACGTTGAGCAACATTCATATTAAAATAATATAAACTATCTGTATAAACAAATTCTTCATCACCATGACACCATATAGCTTTATGACTTTTCATTTGTTCAATTGTTGGTTTTTGTAAAACACAAATACATTTTCGTTTATCAGTTGGATCAAGTACAAAAACACCATGTTGTGTACCAACTGAAAGTGATGATGGATGTGCAAATGCAACAAAATCATTTGTTAATAACCAATTTGTATTTATATGTGATTCATCGAATAATTCAATTGTATCTGACGAACATAGAAATACACCTCCATGAGGCATACGAGCAGGAAATAATGAATAAAGTGCTAATTTTATATCAAATAAATCATATGTTGGCCAACCTGAAAGATTAAATGAAGTATTGTAGACGTTTAATTTTTTTTTTAATATAATAACAATCAATTTTTTTTTCTCAAAGAAATCTATTCAATATTTGTTTAGAAGATGTTCCACGCTGAATACGTGGTAACATTAAAGGTAGTGTACCTTCTTCTGATATTATAAGATGAAACACATTTTTCTTTTTTTATAGTGAAGAACATCAACTTTAATTTTATCACATATTCAGTGTGAAGAACTTGTTAAATGAATATTAATCTGTTCTTTAAAAATTTAATTTAATGAAAAACAAAAAAAGGAATTTGTTTTTAATTTAAATGCAAGATTTAACTTATAAACTTGAATTAGTTTATCGGATTTTTGACCTTCGAATTTCTTCTATGGGATTCTTTGTTTTTTTATTATTGAAATTTCGTAAGAATGTATTTGCAAAATTTTGAATACAACTAAATCAGAATAGAATTGCATAAGTTCACCTCCTATTTATTATGAAACTCAAGAAAATTTTTCATCACGTTTTTTTTTTGTATTTTCAGTATTATCATCGTGATTTAGCTTTTTTTCTTTTTACATTTTGCCTGTCATATGTTATCAAACAGGTAATCATGCATAAAACGGCTCTTTCTTTTTTTTTTTTTCTTTTTCTGTTCAATCCTTATCAATGCTTATCAAATAGCTATGTCATCATTTTAGCTTAAGGTTTATTGATAAATTTTATCACACCTTTTGGAATACTCGTTGCAATTTTTCCAAGACAACTTGTTGTTGGTGTTCTTTGTGAATAACCACCAGCATGAATTAATAAAATACGTTTTTTTCGTAAGATTTCCCAACCATATTGCTGTTCAAGTACATGCATTGCATGCATTGTACTTCCGCCATTACCTAAAGAATAAAAGAAACATTATCATGAATTGATGACCTTGTCCTTGATGACGATGTCGCTTTTCTTTTTCTCATTTTTTTTTTTACATAACTTCAGTCAGTTACGCAAACCACGTCGCCCATCCGTATTTAGTAGCAGCAAGTGTTTGACTTTTTATTCACATTCATTCTATTTCGTAACATGATTATAGTTCCTTATAAATTACATAATCAAGAACGATGGATCGCTCGTATAAGTTACTTTCAAATCTGTTGTCTATTGTAACGATATTAGTTGAGAAATAGTTACATAAAATATATGTTATGCCTAACTCCAACTATCACTAGTCAAATGCTAATAATCACCATACTAACATAGTCACTCTATGTATTGTTACAACATTTCCCTTCTCTTGATTATGTAAAAAAAAAAAGAAGAAGAAGACGAGATGACGCATAGGAATAAGATGAATTTGTTTCTTTCAAATCCATTGAAAATGATCGAAGCGCATGTGTATATATGTGTCTCTATTATATCATCGTGCTATGCCGAGTTACTTAACATACTCATGTGTGAGTGTCTTCTTCTTCTTCTTCTTCTTCTTCTTTGAAGAAATACAGTCACAATCTATATGACATAATATCTCTTACCAATCTTGCCAGGATCAGTAATGACAAGATAGTCGACACCAAGTGGTATTCGATTAATTGTTGAACGTTGTTGTATTAATGTATCATAAGCATCTTTCTGAACATTGTCCAGTGTCGTTACAACGACAATATCCCAATAAATGACGTCATGTTCTAGATGACGTACATCCCACCCTAGAAGAAAAAAACAACAAATTGTAGATGATGAAATTACTATTTACGATCTTAACAAAATGCTCCGAATGTCCGATAAGAACATATAAAAAAAATACATAACAAAATATAAGACCTTCAACCGTGAATCATCTTAAAGTACAGTTGACCAATTTCTTTTACAAAATTTCTTTCTTTATTTTTGAGTGCACATGTATGTTCTTTTCTGTTTAGATTATTGTTAGTTTTTCTTTTTTTTTTTTGCGTATCCAATAAAAAAAAAGGATAA